CTACTGTCAATATTAAAACTCGTTTTCTTTGTAAATGTCAGATAATGTTCCATACTGCAGGTTAAAAAGTCCTGGAGCTGGATCAAAGGCAGGGCAGTACACACAGCAGCCTGCGTCCTGAGTTTGATAACACTATCCAGCACACCAGGAGCAAAATTTCTGAGCATTGGGGCAGCATGGCAAAGATTAAATATAAGATGCCGTGGATAATTTTAATTGGACATTATTTGTTCAAGATTAAACAGAATTTAGTGAGCTTTCATCAATGTGCTACTTGGCCCCTTCACTTAGCCAGAGTGAAGTGGGAGCAGAGCTTGTGGCTGTGAGGCACAGTTGGCATTTATGTGTGTACCATTTTTCTTCCCGGGTAGACCTTTGCACAAAAGATTCTCATATTTCCTAATATGTTGAACTCATTTAGAATAAAATGTACTATTTTGCATTATACAGACTTCACAATATAATTTTCCATACTTGTAAAGGGAATACAGTTCTAATATTTCCAAGATTTAAGCATATTCCTTTGATGATAGCTAATGTGTATGAATTTTAGAAACATGTTTAAAAACATTGAAGGAGTTGTCAGCGTTTGGATGAATATCAAAAATGTTGTGTATTAGTTTGATTATTCCTGAAACACAGTAGCTTTCCTGAGGGCAAAAGAGAAGAGTTTCATCTAGAGCCAAGAATGTGTCAGTGTCGTACAAAATAATGTGCCTCTGTAATTATGCTGTAATTAATATTGGTATATTTTAATTTCAACATTCGGTTTACTCATAAATATTGGGAATTTGTTGTTATCTTGGAATTAGCCTAACGAGCCAACTTTCCATGCTTATATATCATTTTGCCAGTGGTTTTTAAATTCCTAACAAAATTGATCAATTTCTCAGTCCCCAAGTTTTACTCTTAAGATAGTAAAATGGAAGTTCATCATACTTTCATACCATTATTTTTTTCCAAATTATATAAAATAACAAAAGTGATAAATGTATAGCTTTTACTCATCAACCATGGTGAAGAAGTCAAGAATTTGTCAATTAGCAAAAATCAGAAATTTTGTACTAAAGTTAGAATATCTGTTTCAATAATTTATACAGAATTTTGTTATTTTTATTTATTTTTAAATCGTTTTTATTGAGATATGTATTTTTCTCCACTCCTCTCCTATCCTCCCTCTTTCTCTTCTACCCTCTCCCATGATCCCCATGCTCACAATTTACTTAGGAGATATTGTCTTTTGCTACTTCCCATGTAGATTAGATCCACGTATGTTTTTCTTAGGGTCCTCAGGGATGTCTGAAATTGTGACTTGTAGGCTGGTTTTCTTTGCTTTATGTCTAAAAGCCACTTATGAGTACATATGATATTTGTATTTCTGGGTCTGGGTTATCTCACTCAATATAATGTTTTCTGGATCTATCCATTAGCCCACAAATTTCAAGATGTCATTATACTTTTTCCCTTTGTAGTACTCCATTGTTTGAATGTACCATTGTATAAATGGTGTGGGAAGTCCATCTGTATATTGGTTAATAAAGAAGCTGCTTTGGAAGAATAGATAGGTGGGAAAAATAAACTGAATGCTGGGAGAAAGTAGACAGAGTCAGTGAGAAACCATGTAGCCGCCGCCAAAGGAAACAGATGCCTGGGAACTTTACTGGTAAACCACGAGCCTCATGGTAAAATATAAAATAATAGAAATGGGTTAATTTAAGAATAAGAGCTAGCAAGAAAGACGCATAAACTATTGGCCAAACACTATTGCAAATAATACAGATTTCTGTGTGATTATTTCGGTTCTGGGCAGCCAAGAATGAACAAACAGCCTCCCCCAATAGTTCACTTTACCCCACATCCTCTTCAGCAAAAGTTATCATCACTGTTTTTAATCTTGGCCATTCTTACAGGTATAATATGGAATCTCAGAGTTGTTTTGATTTGCATTTCTCTGATGGCTAATGATATTGACCATTTCCTTAAGTGTCTTTCAGCCATTTTAGATTCAGCTGTTGAGAGTTCCCTGTTTAGGTCTGTACTCCATTTAGTTATTGGATTATTTGTTCTTTCGATGACCAATTTCTTGAGTTCTTTGTATATTATGGAGATCACTCCTCTGTCTGATGTGGGGTTGGTGAAGATCTTTTCCCATTCTATAGGCTCCTGTTTTGTCAAGTTGACCATGCCCTTTGCTTTACAGAAGCTTCTCAGTTTCAAGAAGTCCCACTTAATAATTGTTGCTTTCAGTAACCTTGTTATTGGGGTTATATTTAGGAAGTGGTCTTTTGTGTCAATAAGTTTAAATGTACTTCCCACTTTCTCTCCTATGTGGTTCAGTGTGGCTGGCTTTATGATGAGGTCTTTGATCCATTTGGACTTGAAATTTGTGCATGGAAATAGATATAGAACTATTTTCATTATTCTACATGTTGATATCCAGTTATGCCAGCACCATTTGTTAAATATGCTTTCCTTTTTTTTCATTTGATGTTTTTTGCTTCTTTGTCAAAAATGAGGTGTTTGAAGGTGTGTGGATTAATATAAGGGTCTTCTATTCAGTTCCATTGGTCCTCCTGTCTGTTTTTATGCCAAAATCAGCTGTTTTCAGTACTGTAGCTCTGTAGTAGAGTTTGAAGTCATGGATTGTGATGCCTCTAGAAGTTCCTTTATTATACAAGATTGTTTTGACTATCCTGGTTTTTTTTTCTTTTTCCATATGAAGTTGAGTATTCTATTTTCAAGGTCTGTGAAGAATTTTGCTGGGATTTTGCTGGGCATTGTATTGAATCTGTAGATTGCTTTTGGTAAGATTGCCATTTTACTATGTTAATTCTACCAGTTTACTAAGTTAATTCATCCAAGGGCATGGGAGATCTTAAGCCTGCATATATTTTTAACACACTGTAAAACATTTAGAGGTTTTCTTCGTCTTTGAATCTCTCTTTACTGTATCTCTCTCGCTTTTTCTGAACACATGAGTCTTTAATTTGCTAGGCAATATGGGTAGGATTAAAGTCATGGCTTTGACAGCTGGATGCAGCCCATTCCTTATTCCAGACTCATATCGGAGGTACCAGCTGGAGCCATGTTTATTGCCACAACTCAAGGTCCCTGCCAGCAAGCAAGCTACAACAATGTGCTCACAAACCACACTCAGCCAGATCTCCTGCCTGAAAGGGTCAGAGTTTTTTAAAACAGCATAGCTTTTTTTCCTGCTATAGCTGAAAATCAAAAAGCATGCGGTCAGCTTTTATCAACACCATTTAAGTGTTTCATGGCAGACCTCTTTTTTTTTTTTTGCTTAAGACATATATTCTTTAATAGCTTTTTAAAAATGTACTATCCATGCATTGCATTATTTGTCTTATATACATTTACATACAAGGTTGTGGCATTTGGTGCTTTAGTGCTGTTTAGAACTCCAATAAAGCCAAATTACTAGGAAGCTAATTTTATGTAGATTTTCCTTCTCTTTACTAGTAGATAGTACATCTGCAAAGCCTCAGAATGTAGGCACTGAATATTATCATAATTAAAATTGGCCTTCGTGGATTCAATTTTGATATTTGGTATGTTTGTGTTTCATTTGGGAATTGCAATTTTATTTATCTTTCTGCCTTCCTATTTTAAATGTTCTCTATGTAAAGACAATGTAATAAATGTTTCATCCTATATAATGTCCAGTAATGGGTTATGTCCTTGGCCGAGCTCTTAAAGAGCTTCAGGGTTTTGCGGCTAAAGCTGAGTTGGGAAGCCTCTCTTAAATGAGAGCGCTTGCCTCTAGCAAGCAGAGCAGATCCAAGAAATTGCTGCTACCAAGAAGCTATGCTTTACTCTATTTAATACTTTTCTGTCTAGAATTACTTCTCAAACTCTCTCAGGTTTTATGTGGATGCAGGTGTCCACGTGGGCATTCTGTTGACTGAGGTTTCTGTCCTGCCTGGTTTCTGTCTTCCCACAGCCATTTAGCCCCAAAGAAATCATACAGAGAGTCTGCATTAGTTATAAACTGATTGGCCCATTAGCTCAGGCTTCTTATTAACCATTATGACTTACATTAGCCCATTATTCTTATCTATGTTAGCCACATGGCTCGGTACTTTTTTCAGCGGGGCAGGTCACATCTTCCTTCTTCCTGGTCTGAGCAGGACTGGAGAGGAATGGGCTTCCTCCTTCCCAGAATTCTCCTGTTCTCATTGACTAGCCTCTACTTCCTGTCTGGTTGACCCACCTATACTTCCTGCCTAGTGACTGGCCAATCAGCATTTATTTAAAATATAATTGACAGAATACAGAATTGTCCCGCACCAAATAAAAATTGCTGAAGATGAAGAATAGCAATATAGTCTCAGTTTCAGGTTGAGCAGGGCATCTTGTAATAACAAATTCTTCTGAAATTCAAAAAGCTGACTTTCAGAATAACAGCTCCTTGGATTTCATCAACATTTTTATGGTCTAAAAAATAATGAGTTTCCTTCATCATTTGATGGCAATAAGAGAAATCATTTAATAACATGTAAGGTACCAAAAGGCACATGTTATAAATAGACATATTTGAAGCCAATCGTGTGTTTTCTAAAACTACACAAAGCTACTCTCAACAAAATTGTAATTTTATTTATAAAATTTAAATATGTAAAAGGTAATTTTTCTGCTTATAAATATTGTTAGCCTCCGTGTTTGGTAGTTTGACAATATGGGGTTTCAGTAATAAGAAGGGTTTTTGTTTGTATTTTAGGGGTTTTTTGATTGTTTGCTTGTTTATTCACTTGTTTACCCTTTCGTCTGACTCTGAACTTCCATTTACTCTTTTCTGGAAACAAGGAAGAGCCCCTTATCATTATTAATATATTGACAGACTGATATATTAACATTGCAGGAGCTCAAATGACTTGAACTTGTTAGGTTTCACCACTGAAATGAGTATCAATTATCACTACATTCTTTCATGGCAGATGCACTGAGCTCGAGTGGTAACATGTGTTCCCTTTTCTTCACAGGCTTCCATAGGGATACAAGGCCCCCAAGGTCCACCTGGAAAAGAAGGTCAAAGGGTAAGTAAGCTAGGAACAGCTGGTAGAGTTTGTTAACTCGGAGGATAATTTTTTTGAGCACTAATAAAATAAAATAAAAATATAGCAAACAGGTGCATATGGGGTATGGACTGCCAAAGACAGAATATAAGATTAGAGATTCTGACAGAAGTTTAAGGTCAGAAAAGTCTACAGATTTTCAAAATTGGCAGCACAAATGTACAGACAATTATTTGTAGAAAAAAAATTAGCCCTAATTTTGGTCTAGAATAGTTTGGCTATAGTTTTCATCCTTAAGCTAATAAGTATTTTGGTTGAAGTCCAGTCTATCACATATTCTCTAAAAAGTGGATATTAGCTGTGCTCTTGACCCAAATTAGCTAATTGACATTAGTGACTCTTTGTACCTCTTATTTAATTACTATTTATTGACTTTAACCGAGATGAAATAGGCAATAAATGAATATCAGTTATAGTTGGACATAGCACAATAACTCTATCTCTGGCCAGAGCGGAATCTCTGTGTCTCCACGAAAGGGATCCCTGAAGGATTCTGGCAACTGGTCCACTCCACTGGGACTCTTGACACACCATCCTTGGGTCATGTTGAACTGTTTTCAGTTCATTCTGGATGCTTGCGTGTTTTTATATGCTTTCTCACAAGCTGCTTATCAAGCCTTTGTGGTACACAAAGCAGGCATTATTAGTGCTACAGCAGGGTGGATAAGAGTTCTGGAACATGTATTCAAATGACTTGGCTTTTAGCTCCTGAAGTAGAGGTCGTGTTTTTTCTTGTTGCCCAGGTATACCTTAAATTATTCTCATTTGTTCATATTAATCTCATTTCTACCCTATGTGAAATAAATCAAACCCTTCAAATATATCACTTGTACCTCAAATATCTAAAGACCAATTTATTAAGCTTTGCCTAGGGGGGGGTTAATAAAGAAAGGATTCTCTTTTTTTGTATCTATTAAAAGCATTTATTCAGTTGTACAAGAAAGTAGAATGAATATCATTTGTTACTGTTACTATTTGAATATGTTCTTCAAAGTTCATAGGTTAAAATTTGAATCCCTAAATATATGTTGGTGGTATTTAGAAGTAAGAGCTTTGTGAAGTGAACATATTAGACTAAGTTCCCACGATAAGACTGCATTACTTTTTGTTTGGTTGGAACCTCCAGCACACACCTGCTTGATCTAGAAAGCCCCAATTCTCTTTCTCTTCAAACCCCACCCTCTCAGAGACTCTTTTTTCCTTCATTGTATGTATTCCTGAGCCCACTGCAGGCTGGTAGTTTGTCCCAGGAAACACTAATTGACCTGCAGGTATCAAGAATGGAACTAGAAATATATAGTCTTAATAGGGTGCAATGCAGTATTTGAGGTAAGCCCCATACCACAGACAGTAGACACTCACTGCTTTCTAAGATGTTTCTAGTCTGGGATGATGCTTTGGGTTTGCGCTAGCATGTGCTCAGGTAAACACTGTCCTCTTTTGTTAGAATGAAAACATTTGCCCAGTCATGTTCTCTCTGCTGTATGGTTGTCTTTTTATATCACAGCGTTGGAACAAACCTTGTATTATTTCATCTTATGGATTTCAGTCTCTAATCTTCTATTATTTGAACATTATGTTCCTGTGATTTTGTTATATTGAAGTATAAGAATCATGATTTCCAGTCAAACAGGACCCATCTTTACATCATTGAAATCACTAATAAATTCTAAACAGAAAAGACCTGCCAACCCAAGCAACAGCAGCACAGCCTGCCATTTTATCACGGGCTTGTGACATGCTAATCAGAGCATATACAATGCATGTGAATTCCGCTTCCTTCTCGCCCACGTTTCTTAATTGTGTTTGTAAGATGATTATAAGAGACTTGTCAGCTACTAGCTGAAACAAAAAACTATTCAAATGAGAGTTTTGTTTTGTTTTGCGTTAATACAATTCCATTGAAACGATGCCTTATCAAAGCTTTCACTTCTGAAAAAGATAGGTCAAAGGATAAATAAAACTGATGGATTTTTTATAATTGCAGAGGCAATTATTTGAACTATAGCTCAATCACAATTTTAAGGCAAATATACCCCCACTTATCAATGTGTGTATTCCAGGACATTTCCTATTACTTTCTTTCTGTTTTCTTTGAAGAGCAACAGCTTCAGACAGTAGATAATGAAACAGGATTTTATAGTCACTGTTGTGGATAGCTTGTCCCTGTTTCCACTGCTCTCTCAAAAATTCCATGTATTTCCAAGAAAATAAATTGTATTATCCATAGTTAAAAATAATTTCTGAATGTGCCCAATGATGTTTCCTTTGCCATATAAGCTACTTAAACAGGAAGTACACACACACACACATATATATATATACATATATATATATATATGGAGTACACCCCTGTAGATTTACCCTTATATCCTTAAGTGTCACCATTTCTTCTCTTTACGGGTGCCAGGTATCACTCAGCCTTAAAACACATTAACTATATGTATAGGTGAGATGTAGACATGTCTGAATACACACACACAAATACACACACATTGCACAGATAAACATATTTACAAGCATGCACACACACCTTCAGAAATTAAAACTAATAATTATTCCACTTCATTGAATTTTGAAATAATATAGAAAAATCTGTAACTATAAAAATATATTGATCAACGGTCAACAAACATGCAAATTTGGTTATAGGTGTCTGACTCTTGTTACGACTGTTAAAATGGAATATGAAACACGTGACAGGTTCCCAGGACTTAACTTCTAGGCACAGTGTCTTTAAAGGGAAACGTTTAAGAGTAGATAAATCATTAACTTCTAGATTTCCTTTGTGATTACATACATAACAGTATCTCGCATTAAGACAATTATATGCCAGGCAGTGGTGGCACATGCCTTTAAAAGCAGGCAGATCTCTGTGAGTTCGAGGCCAACTTGGTCTACGAGAGCTAGTTCCAGGACAGGCCCCAAAGCTACAGACAAACTCTGTCTCAAAAAAAAAATTAACAAACAAGTCTGGCGTAAAGACATATGTTGAAAATGTAACTATTACAGAAATAGGTATGTATTGCTAAGTTATTTTTATTAAGACACTATGTCTGTCTGTCTCTGTAAAATAAAAAGATTTCTATTCAATTCAGTGACAATACTGTTTTATATGTACTTAAATAGAACTCTGTTTGAAATGTTAATGAGTTGATTTTATTTGTCCTTTAAACTGACATTAGCTTAAAACCTATTCATTTAATAAGCCATAAAAATTAATGTTCTTATACTTGAAGAGTAACTTTAATTTCAGCAACATCCTATGGCAATGTGTATCTGAGATTTATAGGAATGTTTTCTTCACCTGATTTTCATCTTTGTTTTATACCATCAACTTTATTAACTTAACTTTTTATTTGAAATCCTGTAAGTAAAATATTTGACTAACACTTTTAGTCTCATACACTTTATTAATCAATGCATGTTTTACAATTTAGCTAATATATATTGATCTTATGCTATGAATACTGTGTGTTTGAGGGGAATGAGGGAGGGTAAACTAGTGAAGCCCTGGAGAGTGTTCAGCCTATGATGAGAACAGAGAAGGGAGTAGGAAGGTACCCAGGATACAGCAGGACCAAGCAGTCAAAGGAGAGAGCTTTAACATTTATGGAGAGGGGCTGGGAAGACCTCTGGCTGTTCTTCAAGAGGAGCCAGGTTCAAGTCTCAGCACCCACATGGCAGCTCGCAACTGTCTATAACTCCAGTTCCAGGGGACCTGACACCTTCATACCAAAGCACATAAAATAAATTATTTCTAAAAACACTTATGGAGAATTCAGTAGGATAAAATTCACATCAGGAGTTAGAAAGATGTTTTGGAGGTTAATAGTTCTTTCTGCTCTTACAGAGGTCCAGTGTTCAGTTTCCAGCACCTACATGGTGGCTCACCATAGGGAAACTCCAGATCCAGGGTTTTGGAGCCCTCTACTGGTCTCTACAGCCTCCTGAGCACACATGGGATGTATAAAAGTGCACACACACACACACACACACACACAACAAAACATACACAATGTGCAGCAACATCAGCAAAAAGAAGTTTGTTAAGAGAAACAGGCAGATCCAGTGTCAATCAAGGAATAAATTTCAATTGATTAATAGACAAGGCCTTAGAAGAGAAGATGGAACAGATGGGGTAAGGAAATGAGAGGGGTCTTTGTGAGGAAGCAGAAGCAGCAATGGGGACTAGAACTGAATGGAAGCCCAGAAAAGATTTGTGCTAAGTGACTTAGTTCAGGTGGCAGGTCACGTGTTCATCAATGCTGACATGAAATACCTCAAGAGAGCTGACTTTGATAAAGATCCCCTCTGCGAGACAGATTCCCTGAGAAGTTCTTTATAATAGAATCTCCCAACATATAAAAAAAAAGCTATAATTATTCAATGTAACCTTCTTCTTTTCTTATATACACATTGAATATATGTGAATAATGTGAGTTTAACGTGAATCTAATACGATTTCTTATAAAAAATTATTCTAAGTCTAAAAATGAGCATTAATTAGTCAGCTAGTTACCACGTTCAATGCTCTTTGCATCGTTAGACAAAGATGGCCTCTCATCCTTACCTTCTGTCATTGGAATCTAATGTTAATACTTACAGAAATACTCTTTCAATTTTCCTATAGCTTTCCTCATAACCCCCTTCATCATATTCCCAGGTTACCCTGTGTACCTGAGCCTGCCCTCAGGCACAGAAAGTTCGGCCTTGATTTCTTCCTTTGACTCTGAGGTGCAGATTTGACTTTCCCTCACAGAGCTAGATGCCTGCCCTGTCTGGCATCAGGAATCCTTGCATTTAACGGAACACAGAGAACTGGAGTTGCTCGGACTTCACCCCATTGTACTTGCCCAGATTTGGGGGCAAAGGAACGATCATATTGCCATCATGATGTTGGAGCCAGCAAAATGAAAGGAAGTCAGGGAGAGTAGCCTACTTCTCATGCCACAGGCAAG